GAGACTGCAGCAGGCCGTGGCGCTGCGTTCAAGTACCGGGGATTAGGTCGTAAATAAGGAGCGCCTGATGCGTCCACGACGCGTCGGTAGAGTTGTGATAAAAACAGGTTACTCCACGATTCTAATATGAAATGCTGGCGTAACCCACCCCCAAAACAGTCTATGGTTTTCATTATGTCTTCTTTAAAAATAAAATAAATATATACACTAATATTGTGTCAGAGTTGTAAACAGGTACATAAATGTAGTGTATGAAACCATTTTTAAATGTTTCCACCATCAAATGAAATAATGATTTTTAAGGTTTATTTTCATCAAGGCTCCTCGTTGCAATTAGCATTTATGGGTGGGACAGTAGCTACTCCAAATATCAACTTCTGGCAATATTCTTTTTATTTCCTTGTGATTAACTTTAGGCCATTGATTAACCTTTGTGAGTAAATTAGATTGTTCTCTGCAGAAACAGCTGGGAATGGACCCCAAGGTTGAGAGGACGGGGTTTGCTATTTACAGGGATAGGGAATTTATCATTTATTTTGGTACTAACTTCCATTTTCAACATGTTTCTCTCAATTGTATCCTCTTACAAATTCAAAATGATAAACATTTTTATGTGAGCCAAAGATTGTAGAGATACCAAATAATAGCCATCAGATGAGCTGATTTATATCAGGCAATCTAAATTATATGTTTACATTCCGATGTAGCTTTATTCTGAAGAGTCCCTGGGGAAATGTGAGGACTTTATTCCTTGTACTTTAACCATGAGACTGGTTGACTTCTGTCCAAAGAAGAACATTAAGAACCTTTGAAATTCTGCCTGAAGTACACAGAATGTTGAAAGTTATTTTCTCTCAAGTTAGAGACATATAAAAAAAAACAACAGAAAAACGTTCTGTGTGGCCACTGAATAATGTTTAGTACTCAATTAAATGGATTGGTTTTATTCACCATTCTATGTAAGACGCCTGACAGGAATAAAGAGTAGGGACAAATATTCTCCAGGAGCATTGGATTGAAATAATCCATGCACAAAACTAATCTCTCCAGCATGGTAGAGTATATGTTAAAAGACAACAGTGATAATGAAGTGGACATCAACTTGTGGGGTAGGCATGAATAACACAAAAATATGTCTGGATCTGGCCTTTAAGTTGATAACCAGTATGTCAGGGTGACTTGCAAAAAATCTTAATAAAACTATTTCCAATAAAGCGTGTAAAGGAAAGAAAAATGAGGACACAAATTACCTTTGTGCCATGAATAAAACTTTTTAAAAATCTGGTCATACCATAATTTAAGTGTTCCAGAAACTTTATTATTCTAAAGTTCAAAAAACCTGAATCGGTTAAACATAAATCAGTTTTCAGAACATTTATCCTAAGCCTTTAGCCAGAACTACAAAGAAAAGGTTTAGAGAAAAGGATATTCATGTGCTACAATAACCCAGTCAAAGTCTGGGTCTAAACTGAACGGAAAATCTTTAGCAAGTCTTGAAATTGACGTGCTAGAGTCAACTCGCTGGTTGAGCTTAAAATGTTTTGCTAAATAAAAAAAAAGCAAAGCATGAAGAAGCACATCCTAACATGTTTTCAGCTGCATTTGCATTGAAATTTGGTTCTAAAAATGAATTTATACAATTATTAATAGTTTGAGTTTGACTGTTAAGGTCAAGCTAAAAAAAAAATCAAGTCATTAGAACACCTTTGTAAGACAATGTAGTAAAGCATTACATTTTAAACATTGTATTAATCTTATCATCCACTTAAATCTAATTGTCTGTGACAGCAGATTGTTCAACAGACAGGGGAGTTGTCTACCAAACATAATCATTAGCTCAATAACCCCATCTAGAGCCCTAGAAGTAAAGCTACAAGAGTGGCTGAGCTTACGCATTTATCCAAAAACCTGGTTAAGATTAAAAATACAAGTGACTCATCTTTAATAAGTTGGAGTTTGAGTAAAACTTTCCATAGTGGGACACTTCCTTTTAAAATAATGAGAAAAATCAGTAGACTGCAGCTTTTATGTTTTGGCATACATAACTCGTGTGAATTCAAAATATTTCCACAGTGTATCACATCCACAAATAATAATAATAATTGAACTTTATTGATCTCACATTGGAGAAATTTACCTCTGCATTTAATCCATCCCTTTGGGAAGCAGTGGGCTGAACATCGTGGGACGCCCAGGGAACAGTGTGGGGTTTAGGGTCTTGCTCAGGGACCCAGCGTGGCAATCTATGGGAGTGGGGCTTGGACCGAGAACCTGAGGATTCCAAGCTCTTTGCCCTAACCACTAGGCCATCGTTCACCGAAAAGGTGACATATATCTTTATTTCCTCTTTGATTTTGGAGAAACACTGAAGCTCTTAATAAGTCAGATTCAAATTAGTTTAACATAATGCTGTACTATTTAATTGTTTGCTAGTCTAACAGGTCTCATACATTAACTGCATAATAAATAGCTTATAATATGTTTTATTAAAATATTATTTAACACTTAAGTATTTTGTATTTTAAAGTATTTTTGAATCAAACAGACATAACACAAATTACTATATTATCAGAAGAAAAAAATTGAAAATTCAGCTTTATTTAATGTTATTACAGATCAGAATAACACAAACTTGTCCTTGGAAAAATATCAATCAGTTGTAAATTGCATAAGAAAATGCTTTCACAATGCATATATCTGTTCATTTAACAAATGTACATAAAATCACAAGATAATCACACGATAAATAACCTTATGGTTAATTAAAAGTAAAAGAATCACTGCAAAAAGGTAAACAAATGCTGAGCATTTTGATCCTCGACCCTTATTCTATTGAACAAGTGCTAGACGGCCACTCAAAAATATATTTCAAGGCAAACATATTTAAAAAATGCTTACTAGTTTTAATTATAATTTACCTCAGTATTGCACAGAAAATCCATTTGATCAAAATTAAATTAAAAAGAACTTGTTCTGACTTATCAAGTCGTCGTTAAAGACACCCCTGTAAAGGTTTTTACATATACGTTAATGTCACAAACAGAGAGTTTTAATTTATTTGTCTTAATCTTGAATTAAATGTAATACCTGACAGCCAAACCTACTGGTGTCCCCCCCAAAAAATCAATGTCTTTACAAAAACTGCTGTTTTTCATTGTGAAATGTGCTGATGGTGGTGGGGGTTGTTCTAAAAACGGTTGATCTTAAAGTTGGTTTTCCACCACTCAATAATATCTCACATTAAAGCTAGGGTTTTACATAAATGCATTGCCGTTAAACAGCTCCAATAACATAATCTTTTAATAATAAGCTTTTTACACATCACCCAACGGGTGAAAATAAAACTCAATTCAACTGAAAGGCCTAGATTATAAACCCAGATTTAACACACTCCAAGTTTGCCACAAATAAGATTAAAAATAATGAACAAGAAATAACATCTAAAACTTTACATTTACAGAACATAAATAAATAAAAGTAGTTGAAAAAAACACTGTAAATTTTACAAGAATTTTGACAAGACTTTAAAAGTCTGTCGCTGATTGTTCAACAGCATGCAATACAGTTTCATTCCACTAGGTGGCTCTGCTCACACACATATGGAGCTTAACCCTCAACTGTTCACCAACAACAGGCATTAGTCACATAAGGCACATATTTCAGATTTTTTAAATGTTCAAACAGCTGAAAATGGTTCTCAGACAAACACAGACATCTGCTAGAGAATATCTAATTCAGTTGTTTACAGCTGCTTATATACACTCATTATGGGCATTCATGTTCATTGGGGGCTTTGATGATTCTTTTCCAGAATATAAAGCATTAATGATTTAAAACTAGAGCTGGGTGCAAAGCTTGAGTTCACAGTGAACTTGTATCTTATCAAACATTTGCTTAAGGACTTGAATACATACATATACTACTGGCATTTTGATTATGTCAATTTCTAATCTGCAGATACTATATGCTTTTGCAGACGTTAGAAATATTTTGGTATAACTCTACTGAATATAAAACATCTCTTTTCTTCAGAAGCTTTTCAGCTTGTTTAAATTGGTTATTTTTCTGGTACCTTTTTGTTTTTTATAAAGTTGGGGCCAATCCAGGGGCTTACTTTAAACCAGCTTCAAAACTAGTTTTGGAGGTGCTTTTGGGATCACAGCTCTGCAACGACACCTAATTATTTCCAATATTCAACTGTTTCATCAAAACAGACCACCAAATGCCTTCTATGGAAGGGTTTTATAGTCAGAATGGATAAAAAAGTTGTTTGGCCATGATGACATGATGTTTTCAGACATAATCATGGTGTAAAAAAAAAAAAAAAAAAAAAAAAACGGTCAAGGATATTGGTTGGTGGTACATTATCAGGCCGCGGGTGTATATTGTGGGTAGAATAAAGGACCAGTCCTGTTCCCACAAGTCAATGATGATTAAAAGCTGGGTCCACACCATAAACAAAACTAAATATTTAAATAAAATCTACCAATTTCTGATAACTAGCCAAACTTATTCCAGAAGCTCGATAATGGCTACAAAATCTTGTGTGCCTGAAGTGTAACTTGTTAACAGGCGTTCAGAAAATAATCCAAAGAGCTGCATGTCTATTTATAACCATTAATAGATTGGAGAAAATGCCCCAAAAATTCAAACTTGCACATATTTGTGTTTTTTTTAAAGATATTTTAGTTGCAGATTGTATTAGTAGGCCACAACTAAAAATACATTCAAATTAAAAATGGAATGAATGCTATGTTAAATGGACCCATAGATGCATGTTTCAAAAAGATTTTTACTTCCTTCTAAAGAAACAAGACTATTAAATATATTCTTATATTAAATTGGAATGACACGTTATAAACTTTATTTTTGTAGCAGTGTTTCAGATTAAAGGGTTGACATCAATTAACTATATTTGCCAAAACCCAGTCAAGGAATTGCAAAAAAAAAAATAATAATAATAATTTTAGCTTAACACTTGGTTGCATTCTTCGTCTTGCAATGTCTCCCTTGTAACCTTGACTTTCTGCAGAGATAAAACTTAGCCTTGTGTCCGGTTCACAGAAAGACAGCCCATTATGCACCCTTACCAAGGTTCTATTAGGATTATAAAAAGCTACGATGAGCTGAGTTCGCCTGTCAGTAATTTAAATTCATGTCTTCTTAGGGTTTTGCTGTTTCTGCTTGCGGAGGTGAGCTTCGATCTCATGCCTGAAGAAGAGCATCCCCAGCTGGCCATGCGAGGCCTCATTCATGGCCTTGGACTGCATGCACATTCGATATTGGTCAGGAGGCAGCTCGTCAGCACAGTGCTTCTCGTGCCACAGGTGGAACAAGCCGCGCGACGGTGCTCTGACGACCAAAAGGCTGCTGTGGAGATACTTTCTGTAGAGGTGGACGTCTTCCCCACCCCAGCCTTTGATGTCAATGTCAAATCCTCCTGACAAAACAGACACGGTTGTCAGACAGCACGTCTTTTCATGATGCTAAAGTTTTTGTAGCATGGCTCACAGTTTAAGTGTCTTATTCGCTACCTAAAAATCAGAATGTTGCAGTTTGGTAAAATCTTTATCGTTAGATTTGTTATGTAGGCTGACAGGAAGGGTATGTTGAACTGACTGATGAGGCTCGTCTAAACCTGCAGCTTTCATGGTCATTAACCTCCTTTGGTTCAGTTTTGATTGTAATATCTGTCTACATCTACCTTTTCAAATTCAGGCTTCAGGGATAAACAAAAAAGAAAAGAGAAAAATCAAATCTGAAGAATTATTTGTTTGCCTAGTTTTCGCTCGTTGTGGGCTCAAAACAGAGAACATGTTTCAAGTGTTTGATTAGAAGAAAATCTCAAATTCTATTAAAAAAATATCCATAAACACTGACATTGATGCTATAGCGTCCTGAAATAAACACAGATCAAATTACAGCCAAAGAGAAAAATAAATATCACTAATAAATATTCCTAGCAGACCAAGGGTTGTATTGCAAGCACCTTTCCGGGATGTTAAGGTCACAGCGGAAAACATTTGTCTAAATGTACAAATCAGCATAATAAACACCTTTAACTCTGTTTGGTTGAGTTAATTTAAAACATGTAAGGAGGTTCTTGGTTGAAACTCTGACTGGTGGTCTTTTTGCAAAAAATGTTACATGTTATCCCCTTCCATGCGTGGGTTCTCCCCAGGTACTCCAGCTTCCTCACACAGTCAAAAGACATGACTGTTTGGTTAAGTGTTCTCTCTAAATCACCCTGAGATATTAATGTACGATTGCATGTTGCTTATCTGTGTTGTCTCTACAAGCATGCTTGGTGTGAGGGATTGCTGTCGAGTCAATGAGTCGATGCAATCAGCTTTGAACCAATCAGACTGCATCATCTGGTTGAATTGCCTCTGTAAAGTGCATTGAGATGACATGTGTTGTGAATTGGAGCTATATACATAAACTGAATTGAATTGTGTTATGTGTGATGGACTGATGAACCATACAGGGTTGATTTTCTTGCCACATTTTTACATATCTTGATATATAAACAAATATTTTTATCTAGAATCATTACCAATATTTAGATTTCATTTTAAATGTGACCCTACCCCCCCAGAAAAGCGTAAATAAAATAATCAATCTTATATGATTATTTTGGGAAAGACACCCTCGGAATAACGCGTGAGTACGAGAAATTGCTTAGGAAACTTGCAGATTATAGGAATCATCTACGTTTCAATTTAAGATGTAGACAGCAAGGTCTCATTCCCAACAGTCTAAGACTGAAGTCTACTATCAAAGGACACAGGGCAGAAGAGATTCTTAGGAATGCGCACAAAAAGCTGCTTAGTGAGAGGATTAGACAGACTCACTTCACAATTGAAGCTATCTCGCACAAAATAGATCAGATAAGGCAGAAGCTATCCAAACTTCTCCCCGAAACCTTGTTTGAAGAAGTTGCTATTTTGGTCAATAAAGCCAAGCTTTCACAACATCATAAAACAAAAGAAAGACAAAAAGCCAAATTCAAAAGATTACAACAGAAAGCAGCAATTAAACAAGAGAGCAACTTGACTCAGGAGGATAACATCAAGGTTGAAGACAAGTGGGTAAAAAACCTATCTAGCAGACCACTGACAAAACCAGAGATGGATGTACTGAGTAAAGGCCTGAATTTTGCCATTGCTCCACAAGAAGTACCCATTGTGGAACTGATCACGGCCACTGAATCGGCCATCAGGAACAACAACTTGGCTGAAACGGAGGCAGAGCAACTCAGAATGAAGGTAACAGCCACCCTGTCCAGCGCCAAACCACCTCCTTCCAACCTCACACCCCAGGAAAAGAAAGTCATAACATCCCTGAGCCAGGACCAAAGCATCACCATATTACCAGCAGACAAAGGAAGATGCACCGTAGTCCTCAACACCTCAGACTACCAAGACAAAATTATCACTCTCCTGAAGGACACTAATACGTATGAATCCTTGAAAAGAGATCCAACCAGCGGCTACAAAAAGAAAATAATAGACTATCTCAAACAACTTGAAAAAGACAAGGTAATTAACAGCACAGCCTATTTCAGATTATATCCAGGGGAGGAAATTCCATGCTTATATGGAGTTCCAAAAATTCACAAAGAAGGGGCACCACTCAGGCCCATCGTCAGCAGCATTAACTCAGTAACATACAACATTGCTAAACAGCTTACTAATATCTTAGCTCCCTTGGTGGGGAACACACCACATCACATAGAAAACTCCAAAGATTTTGCCAACAAAGCCAAACATTTAAGGATGGCTCCAGGAGAAACCCTGGTATCGTTTGATGTTACTTCACTTTTCACATGCATACCTATAACAGAGGCAGTGGAAACAGTCAGGACACGTCTTGAACAAGATAGTGATTTACACAACAGGACTAATTTCACTCCGGACCAGATCTGCACACTACTGGGCCTTTGTCTTTCCACAACCTATTTCAAATTCAGAGGTAATTTTTACAGACAGAAGCATGGCTGCGCAATGGGATCTCCAGTATCACCAATTGTAGCCAATCTTTACATGGAAGAAATGGAAAAGAGAGCTTTAGACACTTTCAATGGAATACCACCAAGCCACTGGTTTAGATACGTGGATGACACTTTCGTCAAAATCCAACTAGAGGAAGTGGAAGCTTTCACCAAACACATCAACTCTGTTGACCGTAACATCAAATTCACCAGAGAGGATGCCAAGGACAACAAACTACCCTTTCTGGACTGTCTGGTGAGCATGGAAGGAGATGGAAGCCTAAACATTGAAGTGTATAGGAAACCTACTCACACAGACCAGTATCTTCTTTTTGACTCACACCACCCACTGGAACACAAACTCTCAGTCATCAGAACCTTACAACACCGGGCAGAACATGTCCCTACTAAAACAGATGGCAAGCAAAAAGAACAGAAACACATCAAAGATGCTCTCCGAAACTGTGGATATCCAAACTGGGCTTTTATCAAATCAGCAAGGAAATCCAAAAGACACGCAACAGAAGACAGCGATGGGAAAATTAAACGCAAAAACATCACAATCCCTTATGTTGCTGGAGTGTCTGAAAAGCTCAAGAGGATTTTCTCCAAACACAAGATCCCAGTACATTTCAAGCCAAACCAAACCCTTAAACAGAGGCTAGTGCATCCTAAAGATAAAACCCCCAGACCGAATATGAGCGGAGTGGTATATGCTGTTCAGTGCAGCGAGGAATGCTCTGATCTTTATGTCGGCGAAACAAAACAACCTCTCCACAGACGCATGGCCCAACACAGAAGAGCGGCCGCCTCTGGACAAGACTCCGCAGTACACCTACACCTTGTGGACAAAGGACATTCTTTTGAGGACCAGAATGTCTATATTCTGGATAAAGAAAATAGGTGGTTTGACAGGGGCGTGAAGGAAGCCATCGTGAAGGAAGCCATCTATGTTTAGAGAAAAAACAACTTTAAACAGAGGTGGTGGACTCAGATTCCAGCTTCCAAAAACATACAATTCATCATAGACATGATCCCTTCCAGATATCACCAAACCCCCCACCCCATCACAGAGGAACGAGGGACCTACCCGCCCCAGCCGGTGAACAATACCTCCTTAACGACCAACCCTTAACAATCATAGACAGGTTTCAGGTATTACAGGAGACAATTCCCCCCCCCTTAATGGCAATCCCCCCTTTAACGACCGACCCCTAGAATCATAGACAGGTTCAGATATTACAGGCTAACGATGGAACTAACGACCCATTCATCGGTTACCATTGCATGTTTCCAAGCGACACAAGGCGTTGCCTATATAAGACTCAAACTCACTGCGGATCCAGACATTTGAATTGAGAAAGCTTCCTGGAGAGGTGGCGAAACGTCTTCAAATCTTGAAAACCAAGTCCAGTGGATATTTTTTGAATTTTTACGGAATTATATGATTATCATTTTCAAGGCAAAAAAGGATACCCATTGAAAAGCATGATCATAAAGCTGTATAGACCATTGGTTCTTGTAGAAGATTCAAGAGGAACAATAGATACCATTGCCTGTAAAATGATAATGAATAATTCATTATAAAGTGTAGCCACCCGGTCTGGAGCATAAAGGTGTGTTAAATAAAATGCCAGTGTGGAAAGAAAACAGAACTGACTTTACAGAAGCGTTTGTTGTTTATTAATCTTTTTCTAAGTGATCAGAGCTACTTAATTCTACACTGAGGAAGGTCATTTAAAAGCAAAAACCCAAGAGTTAATATTTAAATTCACCTCCATGTTAGACAACTCAAAGAGAACAAGAACAAAACTCCAAAAACATCTCAGACTTAACAGGCATATTGTATATTAAATTGTAGAAACATGCCTGTAATGTATTGCTTATTTGAAGTCATGCTAGGAACAAAACCTATTGCTAGTAAAAACGAGTTTGCAGCAATTTGTATCCTGCAAGACCTGTGAAATAATACAATTTAGAGATGAGACTGAAGAAGTCTTGGTATATCAGCACCAACACCTCAAACTGACTGTCAAACAGAGTGCTAGAGGGGTGAAGATGTGGGCTTATTTTAGAGCCGTAGTACCTGGGTTTCCTCCAGTCACTGCCTCAGCAATGAGCCCCCTTAATCATATCAGCTAAAGGCTAAACAATCCAGGTTGTCAGAAGGTACATGTTCAATAAAACTCTATCTGCCCTTCTCTCTGTCCATCTATCTGTCCGTCTGTCTATCAATTGTCTTTACAAATGAAGCTAACTGAGGGGTGATTGTGCCTATCTCCTGTGGTAACAGGTAGGGTACCCTCTGAACAGGTTTCCAGTCCATCACAAGGCAAACAACCAGGATGATTCACACATTTAGAATTATTACCCAAAGTGATCCTGACTATAGTAAGACACGGGAATACTATCAGACACAAAACAAATGCATAGGGAGAAAATGCTAACTCCAAGCAAAATCACATGGCTGGGATCCAAACGCAAATATAGTTTCCCCAGAAACAAGTTTTAAAATTTCTATTTTAGCTTCATCTTTATTAAAGAAATACTACAAGGAAATTGTTACAAAAAACCCTTAGAAATTTGAGCACTGTTAATAATTCAAATTCTTCTTCATGTAATTATGTACTAAGTAAGTAATTACTTAGAACATAATTACATGAAGAAGAATAAATATAGTAATTAAATATCAAGTAGACAGGGTTTACCTTTCAGGATCTGGACATCTTTTGGAGTTTTAGGGAGAAATTGAAAACTTTAATATAAAGTATTAAACGTGTGAATGAATAAAAATGTCATGATTTCAGCTCAAGGTGAGGATATCATATTTTTCCTTTTTTACAGCTGAACAAGAGAGGATTCTGCCTGCTGTAGCTAGAAATAAGAGTTTTCACAGAGCTTCAACAGTTTTGATGAAAGGATGCCTGACTGCTTTCTGCAAAAGGCATTTTAGGTTATCATGGCTTGATGAGTGAACATCTGTATAGATATTACTCTACAATTACTGAACAATGTGAATAATGTAGTTTACCTTAACGGCTCAGTTGGAACCTCCTGTATTTCACAGGGAACTTTTCTCTGATGAAGGCATTTAAGGAGCTGTGCTTTGCAGTCTAAAAGTGTGAAGAAAGAATGTGTTGCATGCCTATTTGTGTTTATTCGTGTGTCTATTTATGCCTAAGAAAGCTGTTTTAATTAAATTTAAACCAAAATCATTGAAAGCACATGTCCACTCTTTATTTAATCAATCTATACATGAGTTCATTTTACTGACTTTAATTTGATTCTAAGTTCAGAAGATCCACATGAACAATTAAGTAGAGCTGTTACTGTTGGCCTAATCTATATACATATAGGGCTACATTAGTGGATATGGAGAGATTATTGCTGCTCAGTTATATCTTGCAGGGTAATAGAATAAAGCCTTCACCCTGTAGTGAATAGTAATGCAATCTTAGTTCTTCTGTTTTCCATGTCTGTTATGCATCGGCCCCATTAGGACACCAGAGAGGATATTACTTCTGCATCTGATGAGGCCGTTTTTATGTCACGCCTCCACAAAGAAAATCAAACCCTGAGGAGAAACTGATTATAAATTCCTGGAGTCATTGTGAATATGGCACGACTTCAGTATAAATTCTCTTGTGCAAACCTCACCGATGTTGATGAAGTCAGACCTGTATTGACAGGTCATACCGAAACCGAAATCCCTCCAGAAGCCTGTGTCTTTCTTCATCACCTACAGTAAGAAGAGCAAAAATATACTGAAATATCCACACACACATAGTCGGATTTTTAGATCTATCTACAGGTGCTGGTCATAAAATTAGAATATCATGAAAAAGTAGATTGATTTCAGTAATTCCATTTAAAAAGTGAAACTTGTATATTATATTCATACATTACATACAAACTCATATATTTCAGATGTTTATTTTGTTTAATTTTGATGATTACAAATGACAACAAATGAAAATCTCAAATTCATCATATCAGAAAATTAGAATATTACTGAAGACCAATAAAAACAAAGGATTTATAGAAATGTTGGCCAACTGAAAAGTATGAACATGAAAAGTATGAGCATGTACAGCACTCAGTATTTAGTTGGGCCTCCTTTGGCCTGTATTACTGCAGCAATGCGGCGTGGCATGGAGTCGATCAGTCTGTGGCACTGCTCCGGTGTTATGATAGCCCAGGTTGCTCTAATAGTGGCTTTTAGCTCTTCTGAATTGTTGGGTCTGGTGTATTGCATCTTCTTCTTCACAATACCCCATAGATTTTCTATGGGGTTAAGGTCAGGAGAGTTTGCTGGCCAATTAAGAACAGGGATACCATGGTCCTTCAACCAGGTACTGGTAGCTTTGGCACTGTGTGCAGGTGCCAAGTCCTGTTGGAAAATGAAATCTGCATCTCCAAAAAGTTGGTCAGCTGCAGGAAGCATGAAGTGCTCTAAAACTTCCTGGTATGGCTGCGTTGACCCTGGACCTCAGAAAACACAATGGACCAACACCAGCAGATGACATGGCACCCCAAACCATCACTGACTGTGGAAACTTTACACTGGACTTCAAGCAACGTGGATGAAGTGCCTCTCTTCTTTTCCTCCAGACTCTGGGACCTTGATTTCCAAAGGAAATGCAAAATTTACTTTCATCAGAGAACATGACTTTGGACCACTCACCAGCAGTCCAGTCCTGTTTCTCTTTAGCCCAGGCAAGACGCTTCTGACGCTGTCTGTGGTTCAAGAGTGGCTTGACACAAGGAATGCGACAGCAGAAACCCATGTCTTTCATACGTCTGTGTGTGGTGGTTCTTGAAGCACTCACTCCAGCTGCAGTCCACTCTTTGTGAATCTCCCCCACATTTTTGAAGGGGTTTTGTTTCACAATCCTCTCCAGGGTGCGGTTATCTCTCTTGCTTGTACACTTTTTTCGACCACATCTTTTCCTTCCCTTCGCCTCTCTATTAATGTGCTTGGACACTGAGCTCTGTGAACAGCCAGCCTCTTTAGCGATGACCTTTTGTGTCTTGCCCTCCTTGTGCAAGGTGTCGATGGTCGTCTTTTGGACAACTGTCAAGTCAGCAGTCTTCCCCATGATTGTGTAGCCTATAGAACTAGACTGAAAGACCATTTAAAGGCTTTTGCAGGTGGTTTGAGTTAATTAGCTGATTAGAGTGTGGCACCAGGGGCCATCAATTTTGAACCTTTTCACAATATTCTAATTTTCTGATATGATGAATTTGAGATTTTCATTTGTTGTCATTTGTAATCATCAAAATTAAACAAAATAAACATCTGAAATATATGAGTTTGTATGTAATGTATGAATATAATATACAAGTTTCACTTTTTAAATGGAATTACTGAAATCAATCTACTTTTTCATGATATTCTAATTTTATGACCAGCACCTGTACATGAGGGTAAATGTTTTGTTTTTTAAATTGTCAGATAAATGCAAAACTATGGATCAGGTTGCCAAGTTTTACCAATTGCTGCTCCACAGGAGGGATGTGCTCAGGACTTCCATAAATCAGGGTGGGGTTGTACTGGCTGAATAGCACAGGGTAGAAGACCTTTTTACCTGCAGGGAAAAAGCAGTATTTGACACTTAGTGATCTTAATGATAATTGAAAGACTTAGAGTCTCAGCAATCATTTTACTGGAAGAAACTACCAGTGTTTTTGGTTAAAGTAGGAAGTACTTGTATTGGTCGATGGAAATCCAACTTTATGTGCCAATAGATCCTTTATTAGTACTGGGAATACTGGGAACTTTAATTTAAAACCCTACAACACTTTTTTTTTCTTTTTTTTTTTTTAAGATATCTGCAGCTTGGTTAGCCTGTTTTAAAACACCCCCTCAGGCCCAGAGTGAATCCCTACACCAAACCCAGATCAGATCCAAGTTACATAATTCTATTCTATGCTCCCCAAGCTAACTAAAAAAACTGATAACTTCTTTGAGCTGTTTAGTCAGGTGTAGTTGCATTTTACTTATTTCAAATTTCAAAAAATAAGGGTTTAGAAAGTAAAAAGCACCTTATGCCTTCTATAAAGTAAGGTAGAATGTCTGTTATTCAATGGGCCATTCAAGTATAAGGTTGTTTTTTTTTTTTTTTTCTATAGTTTTCTGCTGTAATACAGTCTTTCTATTTTCTCATACATCATCAGTGTTTTACATCCACCTTTTACTGAATTATTTTAAACTACAGTTAGAAAAAAGTAAAGTCCAAAAATGGTTATTTTTAGGTAATCAAATACATCAACATGCAGCCAGTTCACCAATGTGCAAGTAGCCTATTGCAGAGTTTGCGCGATGTCTCACCAGGCTGCGCGTTGAGTCGACAGGTGTTGAGGAAGTCAGCTGTGAAGTAGATGTCCACGTCGCAGAAAAAAAGCAGCACGTTGCCTCCCTTCCAAGCCCTGGCCCCAACGTCCAAACCCCGTCCCCGGGAAAATTCCTCGTCCAGCTGCAGCAGTGTGTAGTTCTTGAAATTGACCTCCCTTTAAATGTACACAGAGCATGCAGGCCGTTAGAGAGGGACACATTTTCCCATAGAGCTAGATCTTGATTTAAACTGCAACTAAACACAAAACTTTCTTTATCTGTATCTATGATAACCTAAAAAGAAAAAGAACTCAAATGGAACAAATATTTAAATACAACCTTAGATAGTATATATACAACAAATGTAAAAAAAGAAGAAAATCTTCCACAAGTTAACAAAAAAAAAAAAAAAAACAACCTAGAGAGTTATCTCCCAGGTTTAGACCAAGACAACTTAAGAGGAGTCACAAACTCAGACAACAGGAAAACATCACTTCTTGTCTCTGTGGGTTTTCATTGCATGTAAAGAGAAACAGCTGGATCCAGATGTGCACAGCTTTGGCTCTTTGCTTTGATCATAACATTTCACACTGTTAGTCACTAATCCTTTGCTCAAACGTGCGCCCACACAGCAGACCACTCAGGAACAAATCGTTTTCACATAAGAGGGACTGAGGCTTCCATGTCTGTTTCAAACAAACAGAAAAAACATGATTTTTTGATACAACTAGCAAATAAAACACATGGAAGAAAAGTAGCAAGAAGCAGCTACTGTGATTATTTGGAGGAATTCAGTTTGACAAGTAGTTTCCTTCCTTCAGGCAACTTGACTCACTTGCTGAGTGTCAACCCTCTGATAAGCACAGGCTTTAAGGTCTGTGAATGATGCGTATTAGCGTTTGTTTTCCTCACCCTAATGTATAAACACCTTTGACTCACTCTAATCTGTTCAGCCTCTTACATAAAAACACCAGTGAAACCTTCTGATAGAAAATGCCTCTGAGTCTAAATGAACCACATATTGAAAATAAAAGCACCTTGTTTGACTCAGAGCAACAGTTTCAACGAAGGCTGGTAAAAACACCTTTGTCACATTCCAAAAATATCTCATGACTTCGAAGTTAAAGACGCGTGATCTCCACATGTAACTACATGTCTGTGTGTGGTTTTGTGCAGTCAGGCAAAGCTGTCGAAGCACAGAGAGCAGCGTCCTTGTCTGTCAGCGGAGCACGAATCCAAACAATCTGAGTGTCTGCAGAGTCCAAAGAGAGGAAGTCTGGGCAGCTGCCACTAAACCGTCCACAGATGGCAGAGGCAGAACAACCACTCTGCTTGTTTGAAGCAGCTTTAATGAACACCAGCTACGCTCAAGTGTTGATTCGGTTTCAGGTTTAATGTTTCAGGAACTAAGAGATCAACTAAACCTGTAAACTATTTAGGAGAAACACATTAGAGGATTTGGCAGGATTGTGGTCCATTGTAATAGTATTTATATTGCCTGAACTTTTTCACAATTAGTAACCAAAAACTTTTGATTAAACAACACAAAATAGTGCATATGATCATTCAGCTACTGAATGGTGAACCTTTACCTCAGACTTCTGAAGCTTCTGTCATGTTTTCTTCCATTTATCTTAATCCATCAAGATTCTCCTAATTATTATTAGGAGAACTTGTGCATGTGTTACTCATATTTTAGGATCATAACATTAGGGCTGTGGGTGTACATTACCCGTCTACAAGGGTGAGAACAATAAAGAAGCATTCAGGTCAAACCACTGCCTCCCTTCAGCTTTTTGTCTCAACACTGGGAACGGCATATTTGGAGATTTGCATAATGTCATCCGGAGGTGTGTGGGGGTTTATTCGTGCTTTAGAAAGAATATTCTTCAAACAATGGCTCTGACGCTCTGATTTACTTTTTTCCCCCTTTGGTTTTCACCTATCGTTCGCATATAAATATAGTTATGATGCAAGAGGGACAGACGTGACAATTAATCCACTGAATCATAAAGATGTACCTCCTTCATAAATACTTTCACCATAAATCAGTTTGCAAACAGTCTAAGCAAGCACAAAATGCATCAAGTAGCTTAAAAAGATAAAAAGTTTTGGGACTTTGGACGACTCCACCCTAACAAGCTTTACACCAAGCAAAAATAATAGTTTCCTATCCATATTTACAGTTCATAGTCAATGATAGTCTTTCCCTTTTTGAATAAGACTGAAAAATCCATTGCATTTATAAACTAGGTGTTGGAAGCTATATTTAAGCAGAATATATAATAAAAAAATGTTGAGTGAACAGGAAGTCAGTGATACGCCTCTAAAATCCTATTTTTTGGGGGGGTTGCTTTCAGTGGTTTGATCTTTTGTCACCCACACACATCACCACACCCCTCTTCTTGGTCCAAAATATTCCTTTTAATTACTGCAAGCAGGATGGTCTGTAACTAGATGCAGATGAGTCTGTGTCCTTATGAAGCCTTTTAAAAGCCTACCCAAATGTGTGTCAGCTGCAGGTTTGATCCTGTTAGCGGTGCTTAGAACGGAGAAGGATACTGTCTGCTAACTACGATGCTTGTTGAATCAACAGTCTAATGTAATCCCCAAATCTATGGCTTCTGTTTCTGTTCACCTCTGTTAGAAACCAAGAAGCCTGCATCATTTCTAGTAACGTATATAGATAGTGGTATCTTTTTAAATTGGAATCTCAGTTGGAATCTATTTGGCAAAAGTAAAAAAAAAAAAAAAAAGTTTAATAACTATTGAGTCCATCATCTTTTTTATTTCATACCTCAAATCTTTTTACAATCAATGCTTTAGCATTCAGCTAGTGACCAAAATGAGGAAATCAACCATTCAAGTCTTCAATGCTTATTATTTTATACACAAAAAAAGGGGTCATGAAAGTGATAATTATGTGACGGGTGAATTAACGGCACAGAGGAGGATCTGTGCACTCTCACACTATCAGTAATGTAGTGGCGGAGCAGGTGAAATGCAAAAAAAAAACAAAAAAAACAAAAACAGACAGCAACAAAGAGGTGAGTTTACTCCAGCAACTTTCTGAAAAGGATACATTTATAGGAATAGCTTTACTGCAACATATTTCTACTTTTAATTAGATATAATATTTTGTAGCCACACATTCCTCACTACTCTATGCAGTTCTGGATATTTAAGGGAATAAAGGAGAAGCATGTTTCAACCAGTATTGCACCAGACATAACACACACCCACACGCTTTGTGAAAAAGCGGGATTCCTGTTCCTGATCCTTTACTTTATATCTGCTGAGCCTTATGTAGGCCTACCATTTGGAGGTCAAATTTATAAACCATTGTACATATTGTCAAATCTAAAAAAAATTCAAAACATGCATTCTGGTGAGGCTACTTTATCAGATTCAGAGTAAAAATAACCACATTAAGGCATGTGTAAAATAATTGGTAACTTAGCCTGTTTTCTGATGCAATATTCTACACTCTATATTCAAATGTCCCTTTTTCATTAGTTGAAAGTATACAACCATAAATAATTTATAATTTCTGTCTGCTCACCTTCTAAGTGGGGACTCTGTGAATTATTCTTCATTAATAAAAGAGCGATAACGCTCCCCAACGTTACCTAGATTATGTCATTGAAGTTACAATTTTTGTTACTCTTTTTATTGCACTTTTAACTTTTAACAACATATAACCATAAGGCTTAGCTGTGGATATGTTTGTGCAGAAAAGTCTGCAAATTCTTTAATCACCATGTGATGACTGATGTCATCTCCCCCTGCATCACCATGGATATAAAATTATTCAGGTTTTATTGTTTGTCTACTCTTTTGTGTAGGTGCTCTTCCTCTGAACAGTTATGTAAAAAGACCAAATTACCTGGCACTTTTGAAAGCTAGATAATCAGCAGTCCACACATGTAATGGAGGGGTAAATGCAAGCTGGCTGAGGCCTTAGGCAAAAAAGCTACTCTAGGTAAAGATGGCAAGTAATTTGTTCAGTGCATCTGCAAAAGAACTGAGAAGGAGCATAAAAACTGTGCAGCTCTGATTTGTATGCAATGAAATGCTTTCATTGGGATCCTGTTAGTACATCCGGTTTAACATGTTAATTTGTTCTTTGGGTCTTTTTAATGCATCTGAGACTGAATGAAATGCCACACTTGATAAAGGGCAAATTGTTAAAGGGGACAAAATTATAGAAATTTTCAGATAAAATAAGTCACCATGTGATGACATCAAGCTTCCCACATTTTTTTTATGAATAAATCCTTATTTTTATATTTTTCATCCTTTGCAATTCATGTTTTTTTCATCCATGTTAGCTATGCTCTCCAGTCTTATCTCATCTAAGCTCCTTTTACACCCCCCCCCCCCCGTCAGCTCTTCTTTGTGTCTAAAACACTGAAATTATTTATATGTATTGACCCGTATCTAGTTAGATTAGATCATTCTCAGTTCTCACTCCTTTCCATGCCATCTCATTGCCTTTTCAACCTTACTTTTATACCATTTTATATCTCTATTCTAATCCACTTAGGGTGCATAAACTCAGAGGACCCCCAGTGAATGGGTTTGAGTCTTTGAAGTGTGGATTTCAAAGCGTTTTATTTGAAAAATACAGCTTCAGATCTAGGCTAATTATAAAACGCATCCCTAGTGTCTGGCAGCAAAAGGTTAGAAAGAGAGAATCAAACTTATATTAGGTTCACATGAGATTTCTTGATGTTTAGAGTTGCATTTTTGAATTGAGACAAAGGACACTGGTGATTTTTATTGGGTAAAAATCCAGCTTGCTCAATGATATTTGTAAAAAGGAAAACCCAAAAGCGGTTTAAGCTGAGTAGAATACTATGGAAAAGCTTTGCAGAAACTGATCTCTATCTCTAACGATGTTAAAAAGCTGCAGATACAATGATCTTGGGGAAAGAAGTTTTGTTCATGCATTTATATTTGAAGTTGTTTTATTCATCTCAAAGGATTTTTAAGAAATTCTGCTTAAATGTGAAAGAAAAAAATGCAAAAGTGCTAATTTCGTACGATATCATTTTCATTTCTCTTTTGCTTTATTTCCCAAAAAAAGCGCAACATTTTCTACCCTTTAACCTTTTGTCATCATTTAAAAAAAATAAAAACATCTTTTGGAAAACTTTCTAGCAGTGAAACTTGAAAGCAGGGTTAGCTTGAATATTAGGAACACAACCCATATATCTTTTTAGGGTATTTTGCATAATGCTTTGGCTGATTTTTAATTAAAACCCTAAAGAATAGAAACAATCAGTAAAGTCAGTAAAACGATTAGATTTAAAATAAGCATTTAAAAGAATCTTATAGGATTTTTTTGTTAAAGAAAATGTGGATTTTTTCTTTACAAAAGGTTCCAATTGGACACTTGCACACATTTGCATTAGAGAAAAAAACAATTAATTCAACAACCTGCAACAAAAGAACAAAATGTTGAAGTTAATTCAGCTGTTTTAAACAATAATTGATTAAAAAGTGTCGTAGCTGTGTGTTAACCGATTCACATGCTGTTTCTTAAGAAACTCCTTTGCAGTCTGTGAATGTATTCCACGCTTCTGTTTAGCAGAAGACAAAAACCAAAAGTGGATTAAACCTCTAGAAATAATTATGATTTATTTTAGAATGGTTAAGCCACGTTAAAGGAAAACAGGAAAGAGTTGATTACATGGCGAGACTCACACCCTCCTGAGTCAAATTATACTCCAAAGGAATCCTAAACACCTACAGAGCAGAACGCTTCCTCTATTTGGGTCTCAGTACTTGATTTAAAACAACTTTTCAGAGAGCGCTTCAACATTTTATGCAAGGGTTTTCTTTTGGTCATGATAAAATGTGCAACTCTAACCGCTTTTATAAATCACAGACAGGGAAACAATAAGACTTTGTGTAATACTGGAGATGGTCCGACTGCTTCAAGGCCACAAACCAACAGTGGCAGTGAAAATCGCCATGATCACCATAGAAACACTGTTACTTCAACTCACAGTAGACCTGACTCCTGATCAGCCAACACCAACTGTCTACTAGGGTGGTGCGTGTGTGTCTGTGTAATTCAGTGCAAAGAGGACTGAGTGATTGAAGGATGATCGCAGGCATGTTGTAAATTATCAGTGCTGGCTGGAATCTCTCCAGCCTTCCTGAACGGGTGGCACGCTGTTCCATTACTCATTGGATACACAAGTGGCTGTAGCAGGAGCGGAGCCAGGAGGGGTGTGTATGTTTTTGAATGTGTGTGTCATGACAGGAAGAAAGATTACAGAGAGTGAAGAGGAGATGATTCTGGTTACATGTGTGAAAATTGCCACAAAAAAAAAAAACACCTTTTCAAACCTTTCATGTAATTCAAAGACTCACCGAGATATGTTCTCCAGAGTGCTTCGAACTTCACTCATCTGTTCTTTCCCAAAATACACCACTGTCAGATGTACGCGGCCGTCCTGACGCACACAGACTTCCCTGCACACAAAGGATGGGACATTAAGGATAAAAAGGGAACGGGGTGACAGAAAGGAAGAGAACCAGGGTGGCACAACAGTTTTTATACGAAGCCTCAAGTTTTTATTGCTGCCAGGAAAACAGTACTAAACCAGCCTCTGTACTGTGCTGCAGTCAGGCAGGGGATTCAGCATTGAGGTATAGCAAGACTTTACATGGTTATCTGTCTATATTCCTCCTACAAGTGTATGTTTTTTTTTATTTAGGCCAGAGAAAAAGTCACATTTCTAGAATATTCTCAGGCTGTTTGAAGCCTAACACAGCTCTGTCCTTCCCCTGCTTGATGCTGCTGCATGCTACCAGTCATTTGACTAAATAAATGCTGGTACCCCTTTCATAAAACTACTAAATATCTCTGTTTACTTAAAAAAAACACAGACATTTATGTGCAGATACAGAAGAACCCCTATTCAGTACTTTCTCTACAGTGATACGACTTTAAAATGACTTTCTCTCTCTCCCTGAGAGAAAACCACAACTAAGAAGTTATTCTTGTGTTACTTTAACTATTGCAGAAGAGCAAAAATGGCTTAAATAATCAGTGCAAAAACTATTTCAAAAGTACTTATCACAATTTATAACATCGTTTTAGTATTTTTCAAATTTATTTTGTGGTAGTTTAGTATCACTAACAATATTGTTCATCTTTTTTGTTTCATGTAGAGCAAAAAAAAAAATCATATTTAATTGTTTTGTTTTGATATTCTGAGTAAAATAAATTGTTTTAACAGAAGTTTTACAAACTGGGAGAATCTCACAGCAGCTTAAGCATATTAATAAAATAAAAGGACTATTAATACTTCATAACGCTTTGGTTTCTGTTAGCAGTAGGGACTGTTAGGAAACATTGAGAAAATATCTGGACTAAGCCAGATGAGACCAGCGTTCCCAGAAAATGCTATAATGCAACACCAGGCTACCCACATTTATTTGATGACCAGTTCACACACACACATTATGTAAGGTCTCTGCACTATTACATTGAATCTGTGTGCAGAAAGTCAAGCCAGTTCCTAACTCTACTGTTAATTTGATGACTGATATGCACACAGCCATTATCCTAGCTCCAGCAGATTTAATGCACAACACGCAGGCAGAGGGAAATTCGCTGCCATCTGAGCATGTTTGATGCAACATTTAACATCTCATGCGCATTAAGCCTCTAAATAAGAAAGCAGACGGTAAAAAAAGCAACTCATCTGTTTCAGACTGGCTCCAGGAAGTGGGAAGGAAGACCTCACAGCCTTCAATGATAAATCTACAATGGCACTCCCAAGATTAAAATGGAGGAATGTCCTAAACAGTAATCTCATAGCTGATATACATGAAAAAAATAAATTTGAAATCAATCAAATATATTTTGCAAGTTAAACTATATAGAGAAATTGTTAACATTGTTTAGACTTAAGGTCAAAGCCATGAAGGAATGGAGATTGATGATATAGTACCATGCTGTCTGTTTATGGAGCCTGCTAGCTACAAAATGATATGCATCTTAATAAAAAGTCACCTGACTTTTTTATTTCTAACTTTATAAAATGGAGCCTAGGTGGAAGTTCAACTAAAGAAACCCATTGTCTCCTACATCCACCTGCAACACAGCCAATCAGCTTTGAACCACACCTCCACGAAAGCCAATCGGCATCCAAAGTTCATCTTAAAAGGCCCCCGATATGCTCTTGTCTGCTCCTGTGTGCAGGCAGTGGATTCACTGTGTGACTTTATTCAGATGACACAATTTTAACCCACCTCCAGCCCCTCCTCCTACGTCGTAGCTAAAGCTTCATCAGAGTGTCATTCCTCCTGGACCTTTACTGCGTTCCCTGTCTCATTTCAAATGGTCCGGCAGAAGACTGCCATGTTGAGCCTGGTTCTGCCAGAGGTTTCTTCTCAACGGGGAGTTTTTCCTCTCCACTGTTGCTTCATGCTTGCTTATCATGGACAGGTTCTCTCAACCTGTGCTATCCAAACTTGACTTCCATCTTCCAGGTCCCTGAGTGAAGCTCTAGTATCAGCTCACACAGTCCACTGGATCTCCCCATAAAGCTCAGCATACCGTCTCGCTAACCAGCAGTCTACAGACTGACCAACTTCATCTATCTACACTCCACTACCAGTTTCAGACCTGGGGGGTAACAGCTATATTCTTTGCTCCCGTTCATGCAAATCTATCAAAATTAAGCACTATGTTTCCTGCCGAGGTCTGAGCGCCAAAGACAAAGTAATTGTATCAATAAATTTCTCCTAATTGTCTTTTCTCTTCATTTGAGTTTTTAAGATTGAACTAATTGACAAACGTTTATCGGCAAGATTGTCAGAAATACTCAACAAAAATCGAAAAAAGGAGATGCAGTAATAGAATTAGGAGAATGACTAGTTTATGCTCAGGACTTTAGTGTGGTTTGGAAGTGATAGCATGCATGGTGTATGAGAAAAAAACCCAACAACAATTACAACCATTTCAAAAAGTATGGGTGGTAACTCAAAATGGTTGGTAGTTACTCTTCCAGGGAGTGTCTTTTATATTTAGAAATCATTTTCTTAAATAATTTCATTCATTCAGAAATATATATATTTCTTATATATATACATATAAGAAATTCCAGACCATTAAAAAAGCCCATACCAAATAGGGATGGATGATAAATCTGTGTGGGAAAAACTCAATTACAAACAAAGCTTTAATACAAACCGATGTCAAATAATGTGCAGCGGTCTACAATATGTCAAACCAAACATGCCCAAATGTTTAAATTCTTATGCGTGTTTCCAACGTTAAAATTTTAAAGGATCGAAAATGAATTAAGGTTTAAGGGATATCTATGTTTTTGATTTTGAACCTAACTGTTTTAAATGCTGTCTGACTTAAAAACTGTAAACCAGCTTTTCAGTTTTAGCTACCACTGAATAGCACGTCACAATACAGAATTCACACACTAAAAAAAATAATGCAACCAATTTTGACATTTACTTAATCATATTTAGTTACTTTAACAGAATTGTTTTTAATTGTGTTAAAGTAACTAAATATGATTAATTAAATGCCAAAAACATTTGCATTATTTTTAATGCACCGACAGGGTTCATTTGGTTTAATTTTGCAAGATCTCATCACACCCCTAATGTGTAAGTCACTTACAGGTTGCACCACTAATTCTTTGTGGAAGTTCTCATTAAGGTAGGGATAATTGAGCTGTTTTCAGTACCAGTGAAGTGTTGCACTCAGAAATCTGAACTCATTCCAATATACTGTAAGATGCTGGAAATAATTAATGTTGCCTCTTTTTAACTGCAAACCCCTGTTCTAGCACAATCACTTTCTCACATGATGAGATGTCACTTCTGCTATGAATAAAAAATAATCAATGAATATGAAATGAGATTTGTTAATTATGGATCTTAAGGAGAAACTGTAATCTGTTAGAAATGATGGTATACAAAGCCAGAGGTTCACAACTAAAATACTCAAATTAGGAACCCTCACATTTAATAAATATCAGATAATTATAATTTTTTTGGTATATTTTAGGCTAATGAAACATTTCCTACTACTTTAAAAATATTAATTTATACAGTGTTCCAGGCTTTCCTCTGATATACACAAAGACAAAATATAAGCCAAAAGAGATTTGGTGGAGGTGCCTGCAGGTATCTGATGAATACAAGTTAAAAATAACACATCAAGCTGCAGATCATTCAGCTTTCCTACAAGGCATCCAGGTGGGCTCACAAAAACTCCCCAGAAGCATATATGGAAAATAAATTCTCATAAACCTCACATAGATAACATTTTATTTCCAGTTTAAAGAGTTATAATGCTTTTCAATCTTTATGAGTATTTGTATCTATTTTTTTATTTTTTTTTGTAGGTATCTGATGGCTTTACTCTTGTGGACAGACCTGCAGACCAAAAGTGCAGGGGGGGATTTTCATAATATTTCAAGTTATTTGAGTTGAACTTGTACATTTTGCACAAAGATGCCTCCATTATCTCTGGTCCTAGTGTTACTGCAAAAAAAATATTGTGACATTTGTAGCCCTGGTATAAGACTTGCCTGTGTGTAGTGGCTCTCAGTGCAATGACTCCACCCTCAATCCTCTCCTAAGCATACCAATAAATACCTTTTTGATTTTTCCAAACATGCACACATGCTGTGACACAGGCTGCCTCCCCTACAGCACTTTTATGAGGGAAAAACGTTTGCTCAGCTACAGCAAGCCTTTCAAGTAAGTACATTTTTGCCATGCTGTATATCAACCACTGTAGGTCTGCCCGGGGGGGCATTTTAATAGGCTGCAACTATTCTACTAAGCAGGATTTACCATGTAAAATGTGATGTGATAAGCAGCAGCAGCAGCACAATAAATCATAGATAATAGGAACATTTCCTCTACTGAGCTGCAGTGCAAAAGAAACAAGTTTAGCTGTTTTACTTGGTCAGCAGTGCTTCTTGTCATTTGATCAAATTTATGTATTTTTCTTAAAAGCAGACACACCAAGATCTCTTTATGATTAGTTTTAAAACATTTAAATGCATACTAGCTTTAAGCGAAATAAAATGTTAAACGCTAAAATGGCTCTGTGCTCTTTCTTTATCTAAGCTTTAATAAACATGTATGTATTAACAGCTTTCTCAATAGTCTTGTAAATTATATTATATATGTAAGCTTTATATAATTAACCAACTAAAACACCAGATTTCTTTTTAAAGTCTAATCACACCTCCATAAAACAATTCCTATCACAGCTCTCATGGCTTTGTTCAGTTTTACCACCCAAACTCTTCTGTGTGGATGCAGTCATTTGCCCCATTTAGACTAACTATCTAAAACCAACCCGTGCCAAGTTCAGACCAAGCTTTGATCAGTTAACTGTGCCGAGCTTGGTTCTTATGACCATTTACACATCACGCTAGCAGGGTTGCCTCGCCTCCAATCTACGGTCCACGATAGCTCTCATGGCAGGAATTACGCAAACAAAAATGGCGGCACCTATAACATTCAGGGGCTTATTGGTCTGGATAGCATCCTACGCCCAAATTTCAATGAGAGCCTCGGTCTCAGCATAATACCAGGTAGCACCACGCTCTTTTGATGCCATTTATTGTTAATAGGCTAAGAGAAAGTCCGTGTTACGAACAGTTGAAGAGATTTCTGTGAATTACAAACCCCAAAACGGCGGAAAACCTGCGTAATGAGACAGCTGACAGTAAATAGGAGATGAAGCAGTTTGCTCACGCGCTCTATAGCTCCATTTACACTAACGTCTGAAAACTGATCTGTGCCAAATTCCGATCGAGCTTGGATCAGTTAACCGTGCCTAGCTAGGTTCCTTATGACCGTTTATACATCATGCTAGCACAGTTCTTCGCCTCCTAGTGACAATCTATGGTACTATTGCTCTCTGGTAGGAAAACTTTATTGTTTTGTTCCGTCTAACATCGCCTAGATAGTGTCCTCCGCCCAAATTGCGATAAGAGCCTCAGTCTCAGCATCATCCCAGGTTACACGATGCTCTTTTGAATCCATTTTGAAAAGTATACAGTTTAGAAGATTTCGATTGTTGTTTACAATTCCTCTTTTTCTGTTTTGTGGCAGTTGGCAAGCAACCTATTGATGTGCATTACCGCCAACTACTGGAAGCTGACTGTAAATAGGAGATGACACTGCTCATAAGCTCTCTGTTATCTCTGAGCCACAACTGAACCGCACCGAGCCCTACGGTTGCATTAGAACTAGTTTAGGGGCTCGGTTGTGTCAGGCACAGTCCGGTTCAGTATTGCATGCCATTTAAAGTCAACAGTTATCTAGCCTTCCGTGCTTGGACTGATCTCGGCACGGTTTCAAAAGAGTAGTGTAAATGGGACTTTTGCCGAGCAACAACTGAACTGGGCCGAGCCCTACTGTTGAACTAGTACTTGATTTAGCGCGGTTCGGTTGTGTCTGGCATGATCTGCTTCAATTGCGTTCCATTTACCTTTAGGTTATCTTGCTTACCGTGCTTGGACCATTCTCGGCACAGTTTAAAGAGGGTAGTGTAAATGGGGCTATAGTGTCCAAGTACATCCTCTTTGTCCCATTTTCCTCACTATAGAAGGTGAAATCTCTTGCAAATAATTTATGGTATTTTTCAGCTGACTTTGAGATACAAAGTTCTCAATAAAACGGTTTACTTACCTGAAGTTGTGCATGAACTGTTTGAACTTATCCGCTCGTCTTGACAGTGGGACGATGAAATTAATCAGAATATTAGTCGTGTCCATCCTTTCATTTTTGACCTTTAGGAGGGGTCCGAAGGGTCGGAAGAGGACTAGACGTCTGAATTCATGACTTGCCTCACCTCTGAAGGTCAGCTCGTACAGCGTCCCTTTGTCCCTCTCTGTCCGAGTGATACCTATGGAATGAAAGATACTTATGACCAAACAATAATAAACGCAATAATATTACACATCCTCTGACTTTAACTATCTAGGCAGGGTATAAAAAGATTTCCATACCATTACTATTCTTTTCCTCAATTAGGGCTGAAACAAAGAATCTTATTTTGATTACCTGTTATTAAAATATTTAGTTTAGCACAATGCTAAATAGCTTTTTGGAGTTGGGTCACATCAAACACACTAATTCAGTCATTCACACACTGATAGTGATAAGCTACAGCCACAGCTGCCTTGGGCACACTGATAAAAGCAAGACTGGCATAAACAGGCTATATATATAAATAAAACTACAAATAGAAAGATGGTAAACTCTGATAGGCAATCATAAGAAGGCTTTTCTTGCTGTAATGCTGTGAAGAATGTGGCACAATTTAAGAATATGTGAGATTTTTGCATTTCTATGACCATTTATCTCTATGACTCAAAAAGATTTGCAACTATTAACAGATTATTTAGAATAGATGATTGACTATTGCATGAACAAGATGTACACTTTTTATAAATGCTACCCAACAGGGGTCAAAATAGAGGGTAGAAGTAAAATACACAACCACAAGACATAGCTCCTCACATTCTGCTCACTCACTTGGGCACAAACTAACGTGGGCCAGTATCCCACTGCTAGACCACATTTTGTGTTAAGTCAGATAGATTGTTGTTAAAACTAAGGAGGCCATTTACCATTGTGATATCTCTTTTCCTAATCTTACTTCTGAAATCCTGCTTCAATGGTTTTCTCCACTCAACCTCCTTATGTCTTTTCTCTTTTTAACTTATCTCTTGCTCTTAAGGTAGAGAAGTAACTCAGAAACAAATTATCACAAAATTATATGACTATGAGAAGCTAAAACCGATCTCAAGAGATTGAACAACAGATGAGCAACACATTTTTGCTATAGGAGGGATGCTTGCCGGTATACCATCATGCAAAAGTTGCAATTTAAAACCACTACAGATGAGGCAATACAGCCAATATGGTAGTGCGTATGTCGGAGCATCAGTCTACGTGTCAGCTTGACTGGCGGAAGCCCAATATTTAATGGAGAGGCAAGACAAAACTGATGTTTTGGTGGCTTTATTGAACTCTAGCTTGTGCACATATACACCTTACTCTAAAAAGAACAAACAGCATGTTATACCAAACTCAGTTCAGGTGACATGAAGGAAGGAACCATGAAAAGGGATTATTAAGAAAAAGATGCTAAATTAATATACATACAAACCTACACCAAAACAATAAACTATGCACCCAAAGTAATATTTGCATACATAGAAATCAATACAATTAAAAAAATCTAAAGTTAATCACAAAAACCCATCAAACTTAACAAAACTCATCCCAAACTACCCTCCTGATAATTTTGGTTTGCTCCAAGTGCATTTCAGGCGCTGAAGCACTTCTACCGTTTTAGCCACACCCTGCTGGGGAGCCAGACAAGGAAGAGGAAAGTACTTTGACTGAACATAAACAGAAAATAAGGACAAATAATTGACCTTAATGTTTAAACTTTCTTTCCCCAGACAGGATGGCCAGTCCTTCTGCTGCCAAAAATGTCCAAACAAAACTTCAATGAAGTACTCAAAAAACCCACCTATTTGTTCCAATTTAATGTTACATAACACAAAATCAATAATCATATTTCGTGGGGTAATGGGACTCCTGGTCAACGTTAAACTATGCTATTTGGAAATTCAAGGTAAAGTTTATGCCTTACTGAAATAAAAAAGCTACCGTAAGCGTTTGTGAAACAAATTACCACTGAGTTACTGAGGCAGACAGCTTGGTGATTGAGCTAATAAGGTATCATCCATAGCACTTTGGAGTTGTTGGATTGTGAATTTGATTAGGTTTGATCTAGGTTTAAGTAATTAGCGAAAGCACTGATTCTGTCTATAGATTTTGTGTAAATTTATTTCTTCATACTTGAAATTTATGTTGCTTCTAAAAGTGATATAAAAACAGCTTCCACTAACAATGTAACAGTCAGCTATGAGATTATGCTAAAGATCGAGCCACAATTCAGCAAACTTTTCTTTTTTTTTCCTACATTTTTAAAAAAAATCAAAAATAACACAATGTAGAGTGGTTTTCATAATGTGGTCATACTGTGAACCCAGATCTTTTTACTTAAAGGTCTAGTGGAGGATTTTTGTGAATTTTGAAAAGACCTGCCCTCTCCACTTTAAAAAAAGAAAACACACATGCACAACCCTGTGCCCGCTCCTGAGAGGGAATGCCTATTAAACGTGTGTGAGAGCGTGCACAAGCCCATTTCTCCTCGTTCACGCTCTGTTTAAAAGTTGCTGTTTGCATGGCTCATACAAGCTTACTTTCCAAAAGAAGATTTGCAATTTTTCCACTATGTCAGACTCACCACCGGTAAGTGAAAATTGGGATGAGCATGTAGGACGACCTTGCAGAAACATCACCATAATGATTGACAATTAGGAAGACCACTTATTTTGATGATCCACCCGGAAAAAGAACAGCCTCCACTATACCTTTAAGGTTATCGTATCACAATTTCATACTGACCTAAGCCTAGTTGGAGCAAAGCAGATTTAAGAAGTGTTCAATGCTGGTATCAGGAATGAAGTTTTTTTAGTCCCACAGACTAGTTCTAATGAATTGCTACTTATTTCAGAGTCTGAACAAGACAGTTCTATGCATTTAGGAATATTGACCATATATGTCAATATATGTAAGCAATAATTTGCAAGTTTTTTTATGGGTGCAATTCACATACTACTGTGCTGCTCAAGCCACAAATGCATTTCCTAACAAATGTGGCACCATTTAAGGAAAAACACACAGGTTTTTGAAAAAGTATGTTTTATTGCTAAAAATAATGGCCAAAAAAAGAAAGGATTTTGGGTAAAAATATTAGTGACATGATGGTATATTGACCTCTTTTTTTCCCCAAAAAACAGAAGCCTGATAAGGACATATGAGATATTTTCTATCCCCTCTTCTCATTTAGTCCAAAAGCCATAACAACATGCACAACACAGGCCCGTTCAGAGATAGGCTATTTTTGTCATGTATACTAACATTCTTGTTGCAAGCTTTACGTCAGCTGCTTCCCCAAGAGGTTTTTTTTTCTTTTTTTCAATTAATAATATTTTTTACTGGCCAGCAGACCCAATGAGGTCACTGAATAAAAAGAGAAAAAAAAAAGAAACCTAATAAAGAGAAAAAAGAAGTGGAACCAGACTAAAATGACTCAGAGAGGAAGTGAGAGTGTAACAGAGCAAAAAAGAATATGAGATCTTTAGAGAATTAAACGGTACCAGTAACAAACAGGGCACTATTTGAGGATGATGACCAAAAAGAGCTATAAATTAAAGGGGGGGGGGGGGGGGGGGGGGGGGTAGGAGGTCTATGGGCTAGATTGACAGGTTGATAGCAACCTGGATTAAATAGTGATAAATGGGTGCGCTTCCGTTGATAGAGGGCCTATATTTCTAGAGGGATATTATGAGCTTTTATTTAGCACATTTGATGAAAAGTTTAGGCTAAAAGCTTTTACTTCCTGTACTTGGTAGCTGGATGTCTCATCTGGTAGACCTTAATTGCTTGTGTTTAGCTTTCCCTCAATGGTTTGTTAAAGCAGCGTTAAATCTCTGGAAAATACTGTTGGCAGTCTCTTCATATTGGCTGGCTTGAATTTTGATCATCACTGCTTGTTCAAGTTGTAATGCAATTAATGGGCTTTGCGGACAGTTAAAATAGCCGAGAAATAACAAATCATAAGGAGCAGGCTGCGTTGTTCTTCTCTCACAGATGCAGATAGGCTGTTGACAAGAATTTAAGGACTTTGTGTCTTTCTCGTCAGTGAGCACATGCTAGCAACACTCTTCAGTGTGGGAGTTATGATTGAGGAAACTTCAATCAGCAATTACCAGAATCATTAAGGCGATTAAAAAACAACTCAGAAGAAGTAAGGAAAATGTAAGTAGCTAAAAATGATTTGGATTTAAGGAAAATAAAAATGCATTTGGATTATAAATTCTGTACTTTTATACGTACTGACTGAATATACCTACAAGTATGCAATCCAGGGTTTCTCCTAGAAACTGGTTACAGTAAGACAGGTGGTGGGTGTTACTAGGGTAGCCGACTGTTTTTTGTTTGTTTGTTTTTTTTATGGTAAAAGAAGACAGAAAATAAAAAAAACATAAATTCAGTGTTATTTTGAGATATCTTTGAAAATAATTAAATGTCAAAAAAAAAGAAAAGCTAATACAATAAATATTAACGGTTTGTGCATACGTTTAATTTTAATTAACAGTGAAATGCTGTTAATGCAAACAATTAGAATTAAGTGGAAACAAGGAATCCATAAACATGCATTTAAAATGACCAATCATTGCCTCATCAGGGATCTAAACTCTCAGTCATTGACAGAGTGACACATGAATTTCATTCATTGAATTCTTGCTCTTCAAACAAATGCATGCACATACTGTGATCTGCAAATCAATACTAACATATAGATACCTCAGATTCCAGAACTTCAGGCTCCAAAATGGATTTTTCAATTAAAATTTTGATACTACAGTTATTTAAAAGATTCAAAAGATGACCTGTGATGATTGTGGGAAAACAGTGAGGCTTAAACAAAAACACAGAATATACAAAATTGATATTGAGGACAGAAGAGGAGAGCTTCTTCTGCTTCAGGTTAATTAGTCTCGCTTTTAATATGACATTACCATGGTACTGAAAGTGGATATTGTTTAGTACTGACTCTGACTTTCAGGGTACTGTGCATGCATGTTTAGCCCCTGAGCAACAGAATGGGTCACTCTTGACATTCTAGCACTTTATAATTGAAAGAACTAAAATGTAAATTTATTTTAGCTGAAAATTTACTTCAATTTGCACTGATAGGAATAATGGTCCTCAGGCTAGCCATGGTTAAATGTTCTATAATCATACTTTTTTTAAGCCTTTCAAAGTCAATCAAAGCAATATATGATGAAATTGTAATATAACTAATACTTTATGAGCCTTGAAGTAATTGTATTGAATGCAAATGTAAATAAACATTTCTAAAATTAATCGAATTTCCCAAAAAAAATATAATTTCATATTCAGCGGTTGAAATAATAAAATAGAGATTTGTTTTTGTTCTAAATGCTTACATCTAATTCCATTTGCAGACCATTTTAGCTTCTAGAATGAAGTGCAAATACTTGAATTTCAAGTAAATATAGCTTACTTTTAGTTACCTTTTTAAGCCATAGCGGTATAACACCAACTGCTTGCATACATACATACATACCAACACACACGTAGTTACACACTTCCAGTTTGAAAGAAGAGCAGCTGTGCTCATTTCCTGTGGTTTTGATCAGAGTTGAGCTGAACAAACCGAGGGGATATCCTGGCAGTGTTTCTGCACAAACACACTCAGATTTATGACCTTCCAGGAATATACAGTGCTTTTTAGGGGGGAAATGGAAAAGGGTAGTGATAGTACAAAAATGCATCCCGTGTGATCTGATATCAAACAACAGATGCAAGTTTTTCCTTTTGTACCTATGTGAGAGCCCTCAGGTTGGACAGAGGATGTATTCAGTTCCTACTTAGCTTGTCCCGGAGCACTTGAGCCGTGTTCTTACAAAGTGAATGCCAATCCACCCAGGGACACGATAAAAGACCCCCTACTTCCCCTGACCTGACTGCATTCATGCTGCTGGGGTTTCACAAGGACGTTTTTGTTTGGACAAAAAGGACCATCAAAACTCAAAGGATAGATGATGGACAAAAAACTTCCTGCTTGTCTGTTATGTTAATTCATGCAGTAAAAAAGCAGCTGCAAGTGCAGCAACAGAGCTCTCAGATGTGTGAGGGCTATTAATTCATATGAGGGGATTACTATCATAATGATACCCCAAAAAATTATGAAGATGACTTAACAATACGACTAAAAATATTTCAGAAATGTATAATAAGAAACATTACATTTGTTTACACTTCAACTAAATGCCTATTCAGCAAGGATCCATGTTAGGTCACCAAAAAGCATTACATTTAGTATGAAATATATTATTGGATATATTATTCCAAAAGGGAAATAAAATGTAGGATCATATATTATATGATACATATATTATATGCTTGGTTTATTTAGTAACAAACTACTAAAGGAACCATTCATCAGAATACTCATTGACAATGGTAATCTCACATACCTACAGCCGATGTGTCTGTGCACATCTAAAGGCAAATTTTCTTGTTCGGCTGTTTTTAGCTAAACCCTGCAGGATTAATTGCGTCCTGCTTAAAGCATCATTTATGTTTTTAAGTGTAATGATGTGTTTTGGAGCTGAGCACATTTCGAGAGACTGTATAATCTCTGAGCACAAGAGATTCAAAATGTAAACCTAAAAAAAAAAAAGCTAATCGTTAATGGATTATCTATGAGCAGAAACCTAGGTTCTGTTGACCATGTTATCACAAGACTAACCTAGGCTAGCTGTGCATGCTGAACATGATGAGCATGCTTCACACTACATTTGTGGCTGCACTGCACAGTGGGCACCAGAGAAAAGGAGCACTACAAACAATAATGTTTTGCATTGTTATTATCCATTGTTTGCACCTTGCAAGATGCAATGAATGGACATATTACCCTGATAATTCTGCAGTTTACGATGAGAAAATATATTTTACCAGCATTTTACAGAGAGCTTCGTTCAAAATGAGAACAGCAGAGTTTGCCATTTGTGGGCTAATGGTTCATATGGTTTGCAAATACTGAGCTCTGAAACACTGCAAATTATTTTTTCAAACCCCCTTTAGTTCTGCCTTCAATTTTATTTTTATACCAGGTAACAGATCTCATTTAATTCTAGACCACAAGCTATTTTGGAGATATAATAAGTTCTCTGTTGACCTTTGGATCATACGAAATGACGATATAAAGATGTAAACATATGCTTGTTGAAATGTAAACTTAACAAAATGCTTAGAATATGGGGCTCCTGTTTAGGATTTTTACAGTAAGCATTTTTCAAAATCAACTGACATTTATAAATTGCATTAATCCAGCTCTGCCTGTAAGAGGGATTAACCCATGCACACCATACTTTTCACAATATATTTGAAGAATAGTTTAAAAATCCTGCATTATGTTCATCTTACTTTACATGTATGCATTCATATGATGCATGATTTCTATGCATATCTGAGAAAAGTGAAGGAATTAATGCAGGATTTTCTGTTATTTGAGTGTAAATAAAAGTCAAGGGGGCTTTCTCTGGTATGGGAATATAAACATAAATCAAGAAGCAGAGTGTGGCTTTGTTCTTACCTTCTACAAAGTCAGATGGCGTATAGACTTTGCTTGTTTGAGCCTTTTCTAGTGGGACTCTGTTGTCTTGTTGTGATGAGGGTGTGTTGAGACTTTGAAGAGCCATCTCGAGCACCTCTCCAAGCTCATCTCTCTTATCTTTCCTCACAGGCTTCTCCTCAGGATGACGCGTAAGTCCCATTTCCAGTTGGTACACCCGTTGCAGGGTGAAGCTCTCAAAAGGGACCACAGCGTACTCATTGGGCAACCTGGTGCCAGTAGTTACCTCAGCCTTTGACAATTGGGTTCTCAGGAACTCTTGTAGGTCAGACTGCTGACTCTTTGCTCCCTGAACCTCTCCAAAGCCCTCCCCTTGTGTTTCGGTGCCCCAATCCTGCCTCTCTGCTGGTCCATTTGAAGCTGTTTTCAAGGTCTCCTGCACTTTTTTCAGCTGCAGACTGCGTTCCTGTAAGTCCTCCTTCAGCTGAGAAATCTCTTTCTTCAAGGAGGAAATGTAGAGGCGGGGCTGCTCCTCACGCTCTTGGAGCAGCATCTGATAGGAGGGACCTGCTGGTGGACCCCCACTTTGGGCAATATCTCCAGCTGCTTTTGTGTCACTAGGTCCTGCTGCAGCTCCAATTGCGGGCGCTGCACCTCCAAGGCTTGGACGGTTTGAGCCAGCATGGGGCAATACATGACTAAGTGGGGGGTTGTTGGAATGTGGAGGGCTGCAGGTCATCAGATAGAGGAGTGAGAGGGAACAACAGAGGAGCACCAGCAGACCCCCAACACGAGACACCCAAGTAAGAAGTCCCCGCCTCAACATAACTGCATGTAGCATCAAAAACCCACACTCTTAAAATGTTCATGTAACCTCACACACTCCAGCCTCAATCAAAACAATCCATTTTCCATGATGTTCCATCACTTAGTAAGGAGGTGGGCGACTTATCAGCCTGACGTCATTTATTCTAAATGAGGTCACTCTGCCCCCGGTTTCTGTTAATTATTTTTTCATTGGCAACACAAATAAATGACTCAATACTTCTACAGAAAGAAAAGCCCTCTCTCATCTGGCTAGTCCACTTTGCTTCATGGTCTGCAGGACTCCAGTCCAGACATCGTCGCGTCATCCATCACTCATATGTGACTCATGTGTTTCCGTTTAATCTGACCCTCACACTCCATCTATATTTTCGTTTTCTTGTCTGCATCTGGGAAAGACACAAGATTCGACTACATGAGCTGGGGTTAAGCAGGCGGATGCATGGAGAGAAAAATGCAATGGTTTTGAGGGAGCGTAAATCCTTTCTGCAGTCAGTAGTGAGTTTTCTTCTTGGTTTCCTGAGAGAGGACACAAGGGACAAAGAAACAGTCAGAATATATTCAAAATGCTACAAATCAAAATCCTCCTCAGCCACGTTGGCACATTGGTTTCAGGGTGTTACAAAATGCTAACGTTGGATTCTTTCATGACCACAAGTTTGTTGAAAGAATATTGCTAGATATGCGTTCTCTTACCACAGCCACAGGACATTACAGATGTTTGTGTCTTAGGTTGTTCGGAAATATTTTAACTCAAGATAACACCAAATTCTTTTTTTAAGGCAAACCTAAAACATGTTCCCTTAATTTCAATGATTGAAATGTTATTCGCTTTTCCTGAAAAATAAAACCCTACCATATGAGCCTTATTATATATAAAAAAATGAGTGCTTATAATGGAATTCAGTGGGATTAAGCTGGTTGAGAGAGGTGTACACGAGCTGATCTTCCATTCTAAACACTGTGCAAAATAAGGGATCACAAAATTCAAAACCTAGAATAAAAAACAAATCATTGCCAATTTTCAAAATGAATAATACATGTTGGTAAGGTTTGGAAAATGTCTCAAGGGTTTATGTAATTTTGTTTGAAAGGGGTAAGTGACAAACCAACCTTTTTTAGGTTTTATGAATGAAATTTAACCTTCATTTTTTTCAATCTTTTAATATATAATATCTTTTTTTTTTACTTTTTGTTTGTACCACTTTGAAATAGTTTTATCCTAAGTGCATCATAAATAACATCCATTACCATCACTTTTATAACATTTTTTTTTTAAATTCCTTGTCATTTTTACATTCAACTCAATGGCTTAGAACTTCATCCTTCTTTTATTGTCACTTCCCGATTCAAACATGATGGAGTGTGTCCTGCCTTTTAATCATTGTAAACTCTGTCTTCTAGAATTAGACACATTAAATGCATGTTCAATTTGTTCTTATTTTTGTCTTTCCTTTTCAAGCAAATGAGGGCCCCTTGTTTGGAATCATTTTAAGATCGTGTCCACAGACTTAAGCTTTAAGCACAGTCACAAAACGTCCAGTCTGCATTGTATGCTCTAAAGTTAGCAGATGATCATTTTGTAGTTCTGCTGAAACTTATGTAAAGAAATAAGATGATTTCTAAAATATTATTATTGTAGCTGTACTGACTGTCTTCTGCTTTGTCCAAGAATAGGTCACAAGCGCAGCAGATTTTTCTCTTCCAGAAACCTCATTCAGCTTTTCTGGGGAAAAACCAAGGCTATCCAGGCCCTCCAGCATATCCAGGCCTCCTACCAGTGGGACCAGAAAGCATCTGAAACAGATGTCTGAGTCACTCTTCTTGATATGGAGGGGTAGCAGCTCAACTCCAAACTACTATCCAAGATCCAGATGACTGATTCTTTTAGTCATATCCCGGATTTCATGACCATATCTGAGGGTATGAATGTACACTGAGCAGTAAATCGAGAGCTTTGCCTTTTGTCTCAGCTCTTTCCTCACTACATCAGACCAGTGCAGTATCTGCATTTTAGAGGCAACCATCCTGTTCCATCTGTCGATCTCCTAATCTGTTCCCGCTCTTACTTGTGACCCAGGGATATTTTAACTCATCCACTTGAGGCAGAAACTCCCCTAAACCTTTATATGGTGATCCACCCTCTTATGGTAGAGAACCATGGGCTCTGATTAGGGGGAACTGATGCTAACCCTCCTGTTAACACTCCCAGTGCATGCTGTAGGTCATGACTGGAGGGACCCACCAGAACTACCCTATAAAAAAGGCTTGAATCCATACTCCTAGATTGCCCATGGCGCAACAAGGGATATGGTTATGGTAAATAGCCTGTACTTATATAGTGCTTTGTCACTTCAAGTGACTTGACAAAAGTGCTTTACACAACATTCGGTCATTCTCACATTCAGTGAAACACACTAACACACTGATGGTGGCAAGCTACATTGTAGCCACAGCTGCCCAGGGGCTCACTGACAGAAGAGACGCTGCCGTACACTGGTGCCACCAGGCTCTCTGACCAAGTTTACTATCCTATTGGACTAACTTATCTACATAAGTTATTCGAGTGAACAGGTTGAAATGAACAAGTCCAGCTCAGATAACTCAGACTGTGCTTCCACCAGGGGAGTGGGCAGGACAGACAAGTTGAGGAGATCCTTAAAGTATTCATTCCACTATCCAGCAATATCTTCAGTCAAGTCAAGGTCAGCAGTTTCCCATCCCCTTTGTAAACATTCTTTGTTTACAGTGGGGATAGCCGTTCTAGAGTGCAGCTTATCTCAACAAGCTGGGTTCCAGAGCTCAGGCTGTGTATGGAGGTGAGCTAAACTATTTTTAACAGGTAATATCAACCTATTCTGGAAGCAAAGACTCCTTCCCCCTGAGGTGACATCTAAGACCAGGTAGTTACTGATGAACCCCGAACCCCAGGCCCAGACCCCTGGACTAAATCAAGACTATGATGGAACGACCAGATTTATCCTAAAAACCAATGTCCAAATGACGACTGGTGTTTGGGGGGATAAAACACATAATTTACATCAGAAAATACAGTTAAATGAGATAATCTTTTCCAGTGTGCACAACCCATATTAATCACAATATACATTTCATGTTTGCTCTTAATGGCATGAGACAATCAAGCTTGAAATAGAGTGGGATGACTAGGAACTTATTTACTCCCACCGTCTGTTCATATAACTCATATATGATTGTGACAAATACATTTATTTATCTTTTTCTTGGTTATATCTACACAAAATACATTTTCAACAGATGCATACATTCAAACATACGTGCATACATATATTCATATTGTTACATGTAGTCATATACATACATACTTATTTAATTCAGTAAATGGTATATATGACACAATTATTATTATGCATCCCGTTTCAAGAAAAATTTAAAGGGTAATTTTAATCTATACTTTATTTTTTCTAAAAAAAAAAAAAAAACTGTTTTTATTACTATTTACAATTATACATTTTTATTTCTTTTTGATTACATCCCACAAAATCTGTCACGATCTTGGCAGTGATGACTGGCTTAATTACAGTATGAATTTCTTTCACCTGTCTAACTCTGCCCGGTTTCTCATTACTGCTCATCTGATCCACCCGCTCCTGCCTTTATTTAAGCTGCTTGTTCCCAGCCATCAGTGACAGATTATTCTTCAGCCTTTGGTGTTGAGAGTTTACCAGTGTTACTAATAGTGTTCTGATTGCCTGATTCTGACCCGTTTCTGTATTCGGGCCTTTGAGCTTGCCTATCCCATGTTCTGATCTGTTGGCCTGACCTGTCTTCGGACATCTGCCAGATTCTTCCTGTGGACTGAACCTGGATCTGCCTCCTGAGTTCGACCGGGATTATCCTGCCTTCCCTTCATCTACTGGGTCTGACCTCCTGCCAGGTTTGCAGCCTTTCAGGCTTCATGTCTGGAACTCTCTAGCAGCGTTCCTGCCTTAGACGCGCTATCTGCTGATACCGCAGATCCGCAGCCCGTCGTTTTAAATAAACGCTTTTTAAGTTATCCCACAGTCTGCCTTGCCTGAATACTGGGTCCCTCTGTCCTGAGTCATTACAGGTTGACGAAAAAATAACTATAACGGATCAGCCATAAGGCTAGACATCCAAGCACATTATATTAAGAAAATAAATCTATACAATAACTAAAGACTTCACAGTTGATGGTCACCTATAAGTTTAAAAATAACTTGTCAGAATCAAATTTTCACAACTATAAGGCGCATATAGCATCATCATTGAGGAGATGATGAAAGAGTGGCTGAGGGAGGTGAATGTAAGGAGACCAGGTGGTTTTTTCCACTCATCACCATCGCTGTTAATCTGTGACTCCATGCGTGCCCATCTCACAGCTGATGTGAAAAACATGGTGAAACAAATGAACGCTGTGCTTGCTGTTATTCCGGGAGGTCTGACAAAGGAACTTCAACCGCTCGACATCGGTGTGAACCGGCCGTTCAAAGTAATGCTACGTTCACGCGTCTGTTGCTTCATTTTTGCTGCTTGTACCAGTTAGTTCTGACGCGTAGCTGAAGCAGCTTTGCAGCTCTGGCTGCGCGGTGCAAAAGTGTGTCTGACGCGCGTTGGGCAGAGCTACTCTATCCTTTCTTTGCCTTGCAGCTATATTTGCTGTGATCAGTGGGAATAAAGTAGTTTTAAAGGTACACTATGCAACCGGTGTTGATTTTCCAGCGAGACTCCCCCCAGAGGGCGAAAGTAAAAGTGCACTGTCGTAAATATGCACAGCTGTTCTCCTGGTTTCTCCGTCAAGCCAGGCGCGGTTGTTTTGAGCTTAGCAGACAGGCTAACGCAACGAATGACTAATGCTGCGTTCACACCGCAGCTGGCGCGACAGAAGCAGCGAGTTTACATGCAAAGTCAATGGTTGACGCGCGTCAAGGCGCAGCAAAGGAGCAGCAGGCCCAGCGCGTCTGAGCAGCTGAAGCAGGGAGAGAGACACAGCGCTGATGATCAGAGGCTATGATCTCTCCTCTTAAACAGTTTATTGACGCCTAAATTAACTTAAAATGCAGAAATCTGCCGGCAGAATATGCAGTTTGGATTATTTAGATGAAAAACACCTACCAGCTGCCGCGGTGAACCGCGAGGACGTGACCTGGCCAGAGGCTGCTGATGAAGGGGTTCCTTCTGTCGGCGCACCGCTGGTATGTGGGGGTCTGAGCGGCTCCGACAGAAAAAATATTGAAGGCAGGATAATCATCTGAATGAACTGACGGCACTGATTACATTTTCAGGTGTATTTTCTCATTTAAACACATATTAAAACTACTTTATTCCAAATGATCACAGCAAATATAGCTGCAAGGCAGAGAAAGGATAGTGAAGCTCCGCCCAACGCGCGTCAGACACACTTTTGCACCGCACAGCCAGAGCGTCAGAACTAACTGGTTCAAGCAGCAAAAATGAAGCAGCAGACACGATTTTGCTGCTTTTGCTGCGTGAACGTAGCATAACTGCACAAGGATCGC